TTTTAAAACAGAATTTACAGCTGATTAGCCTCCACTGTAAAGACAGGCCCCAGTTCCCAGAAGGAACGCTGCTAAACATTTATGCAAGGCCAGACGTAAAGACCCTTATTAAAAACATGTGTTCTTCCAAAGACCCCTCAGAGAGACATCCAGGGGGTGGGACTGAACAAAAACATTGCAGACTGGAGGGTCATTTTCAGCACATCATTGTAGAAATGTGTGTTGTCCTAAACAAGATTCGCATATGCCAAAAATGACACATCCTACATTTTTTGAAGCATAAGAACATCAGTGCTCAGACAAAACTGTGACCCAGCAAAGAAGTAGCTCAGGACACCAAAATATTAAAGGAATAGTTCACTTATAAACACATTATATCTCCTTTTGTTTAATGCATACAAAAGCCAAGCCAAGAGTAAAAACGACAGGTTGTGGATTAAAGTGTTTATATGCCTGACTATTTCTTGGCCAGGACCAATAAGTTCCTGAATGCTGGTTGCCTTACAACTTCATGTTAATGACAAGATTTTAGAAAGTTCCGGGCCAAGAAAAGCTCTGGCAAATAACCCCCCGTAAACCCACAAAGTGTTATTTTTACACTCTGGTTTTTGTACTGATTAACCACACAAGACATAATGGGTCATTTAGTGAACTTTAGAGGTGCAGGTAGATGTTTGTTTTGATGCCTATGCTAAGCTAACTGGCTTCTGGCTATAGCCACACACTACCGGCCAGACCTAAGAGCGGTATCAATCTTCACATGTAACTCTTGGCAAGAAAGCGACTATGGCTATTTTCTAAACTGTTCAATTATTTCTTTAAAGACTAAGAACTCTTTCATTTAAACCATGAAATCAGGTTAATAAACGCAAAATAATAACTCCACTCCAAATGGATTTTTGGTTGGCATTCAAAGTTAGCACTGAGCTCATCGTGGCACAGCGGTACACAGAATCACCCACTATTTCCCCTCATGTCTGTGTAATGTGAGTGAGAGAGGGCATGAGACGGTGAAAGTGAGAGTAAGAAAAAACACAAAAAAGTGAGAGTGAGTTTTATTATTGCTGAAGACGTGTATGGTGAGGCGGCGGCTGGCGAGAACCTTAGCTACCGTTGCTGCCAGGCCTCAGCTGCTACGTGTGCTTAGTCTTCACCATGTGCCCACAGAGTACACAAGGCAGCCACAGGTATGTCCCCATCACCCTGGGCCACACCAATCACAGCCAGAAGGCTGTCAGAACCTTTCGGGTATCCCTTCAAGCTAATGAGATGTGACTGAGCCTGTGCTGCCAGTGCACAAGCAATTGTTCCATTCATATACCCTGCACTGATGTATGGAGACTCCCCCCACAGCCATCAATGAGGGACCCAGGAGCATGTGTGTGTATGTCATATGGTTGGTTGCGTTCACAGTCTGTGAGTGTATACGCATGTATCTGAGATATGCGTGTGTATGTATCCATTTATCTGTTAGTGGGTTTGTGCCTGTGGGTGTTCAGAACTGGTTTGCCACAGTGGAAAAGATAATCATAAACTGGCTTATGGTAAAAATGTGTCCAGGTGGGCTGTGTGTGTGTGTGTGTGTGTGTGTGTGTGTGTGTGTGTGTGTGTGTGTGTGTGTGTGTGTGCTGGTGCATGGGTCTGTGTCTCGGCTTGGCTGGGATCTTACAAGGTCCCAGTGCTTCATGAAGTTTGTGGTAAATAAAATGTTGAGCTGTACACTTCAGCGCTGCCGATGGATTAAAACTGTCACACAGCAGGCTGGTGCAACAAGGAAAAATGGTCCGCAGTCATCTGCTGGAGGAATCATGGGAACACTAGGCATGTTTTTCTTCAACAGACATTGCAGGGAAGCTGAGAGATACAGACAAAACCTCATTTCCTTGCTGCTGACTCATCTGCAGTGTTTCCAAATCCAATTGGATTCACCTAAAATAATACATCCTAACCCTTTAAATTTGGAATTTTATCCTGATCATGTTATAAACAATGACAACAAAAATAAAACTCCAGATCTAATTCCCTGTTTATGACTTTATGCAAGACTACATGGGATATTTCACAATACAAGAAATCTGTATCAGTATGTGGCAAAAGCTCTAGTGGGTTAATCATACTCATACTGCTCAGACCAAGTGGATAGAAAAATTAGTTATGGGCAATGTTTCCAACTGACATAATTTTAGCTATGTGAGTTTCAACATAAACAGAAAAAGGAATGAGAAAATAATTGTGGTCGACTGGTGTGTGTGGTAACCCATTGCAGTCTTCATGTTGGATGTGGTGCTCTTTTTCCAGGGTTTTGAATTTCTCATTATATGTTAGGTACATGAACTTACATATGGCCTGATACATGATGTTAAAGCTGACTGAGAACAGCAGTGTTCCCCATTCAACTTAAAATTACAAATAAAATATTCTTTCATATAGTAGGCGGGTTTATTGAGGGGAAAATGTTATGGTGACGGTAGAATTTGCTGTTAAATTATTGATGTGGGACTACTTTCACGTGGTATAATACTAGCTGCAACCCCATAAAGATTGTAGGTTTTCGCTAGTCCACACCAAATTTTCTCCCAATTGCTTTTAAATTAGTCATTTTAGAAGTGGAAAACTGAAAACAGCAAAAAAAAAAAAAGAATTCCCTCACAGTATGGCATTGCCCTATAACACTGATAAAATGAGTGCCCTACAGATGTAAGGTCAAATCTAACCGGAAAAATAAATCACTTCCTCACCACCCCCTTTGATAAATCTGAGTAAATATCCCTCTACTCTGTTCCAAATAATTTCCTTCCAGCTATGTCCAGAGAGATTTCAGGGACTAGGCAGTTTGGTTTTTCTCCTTCAGAGGGCTTTAGCTTGGTTGGCTGGAGGACTAAGGGTCCAGCTCTATCAACTAGCGCCAATGTAAACACAGCAATTCCTTCCCAATTAGAAACGCTAAATGCATTGGACTCGGTGCACTACCAGGGCTGGTCCGTGCAATTAATGCAGCCTTGGTCTCCACTGGCTGCTTCGGATGGCTGGGATGGTTAAGATGTATACAGTTTCAGTTCAAGGCCAGTCAGTGGAAGTCTGATTGGGCAGGTTGGACTCATCATGGAAGTATAAACATGGGGTTGGATGGGCGCTTGGTGGTTGGGGTTTTCTTTGGGTCAGCCGTGCTGGGTAGCACCACAGCAGGCCAGGAAGATATGTGTGGTGGGGAGGTCAATCATAGGGGGAGATTTGTGGAAGAGGAAGCTGCATTTCAGCTGTGTGCAAACTCTTCTGATTCAGCTGTAAAACTGGAGGATGTGGTGATCAAAACAGTGGAGATCTGGAACTGACAGTGGCACATTCTGGCCTTGGATGGCAGTAACGTCAGATGTAAAATGACACAGGTTACTTTGCTATTTGCCACCTGCAATATGTAAGGTGGATCTCATCTGATTAAAATGTAATGCGCTACAAACAGTTCAGGATGATATTAATTTAAAAAATAACAAGTAGTCTGCAATGTGAAATCACCTTTAAAGTTTTGCAACCTATAAAGAAAACAATATTTCCACTATCCTAATTTTGCTGTCATTACAGGGTACCTCTGTGATAGCTGACCTGTGACCCCTCAGGTCTCTCTGTTATATGGAAGTAGTAAACAACTAACTCTTTTCCATCCAGCTTAAGTGACTCAAAGCTTCAGCACAGGCATTTCTAGTGTTTATAGTTGTTATGTATTGAATATATTAGTAAAACAAATTTATATTAAACGTATAACACATGTGCAAAATAAAACAACGTGTCACTTTTCTTCAGCCACTTTCCACTAAAGCCACTAGATCTCTGTAGTATGTTTTTTTTATGATTAAGTGCATCAGGTACAAGCCAGCAAGAATACACAAAACTATAATAAATTGTGTAAAACAAATCTATCTGGCTCTGTGGTTTCCCAGAACAGCAGAATATGCAAGACAGGGATAGAAGACCATTGTTCTGTCTCCTTTTGTCCAGTGGCTATTGTGCATTGTGTGTTCCTGAGGTGTTGGTTTGCACTATCAGCCTGGGGCGCTCCACTCTTTCAAAGATAGTTTGCTAACAGAGCTTTCACTCCATTGCCCCTAATGAAAATCCATACTAAACATTTAGCTCTGTGTGAGAAAGGGGGGAAATTCAATAAGACACGTAACGCAATTTATAAATTACAGGAAGAACCAATCGAACCAACAGGCAAAATGGAGAAATGTTTTTTGTTTATATTTGTTTATTTTGCTGCATTTTGGGAACCAAAGTTGCAGCCGTTTGTGTGTGGTGAGTGTAAAGAGGTTGAAATCTATTTTCTCAGCCAAAATTAAGTCCAATGCTGTGTTTTTATTCAGTCTTTTTCCCCCCACACAGATTATCAGTCATGCCGCCAGAGATGTCTCCACTGAGGTATTCCCCAAACTAATGGTCGCTCTTGGACAGCACCATCGATAGTAAACTAATCTGCAGCCTGCAAGGCACAGGAAACAGATCTCATTAGCACTCATTGAACTATCTTCCAAGGAAACTTTCATCTTTAGACCACTCTGACAACAAGCCTGAGAGCCAGACTAATGTCACTTACTAGTTCTGGGTGTAATGACTGACTGAAAAATGTGTAATAGATGGATGGGCAGTGAAAGAGTGAGGTCATCTGGGTGTAATTGTTTTTTTCGTGCTGATAAAGTAATTACCAAAGATTCCTCTTAGTAATTAGCTGATGATGCCAATTTAGTATGCTCCTGTTTTCACATCCTTCTGTTTAAATGTTTTTTTTCTTTTGAGTTTTTACTCTTGAATTTTCCATTTGCTTCCCATTCCTCTGGCAACTACCATCTATACGCTGCTTGCTTCACAGAAACTAGTAAAGTGATATTTGGAGTGATGCTTCCACACTGTGGCTGAGGCAACAAAATACACAAGAAGAGCTTGAAGTTGTGTTCATTTCAGCCACGAGAGGGCGACGTCAAATGACCCGCACATCCCGCGAGCTTTGCAGAACTCTCGTTGTTTGTTTACAACCTGAGAACTTCCTGTCTGCTCGTAGCTTTGTCCACGGTAAGCTGAACTGGATAATTAAACGTCTCAAACCAGCCGATTCAAGATGGGATGTGATGGAGGAACGATTCCCAAAAGACACGAGTTGGTGAAAGGCCCAAAAAAAGTCGAGAAGGTGTGTTACGCTTATTTTTGTCGTAGCTAGTTAGTGTCGGAAGCAGTCGGCATGTTGCTAACTATTAGCCAGCTAACAGACTACAGAGTGTTTTAAGCGTATGAGTAGAGGTCTTAAAAACTATAAATGACTAATTAAATCATTTTTAAGTATTTCTAATAAATATATGTCAGCCACTCGCGGGATTTGTCTCATGTGGCTTCATGTAACTTACACGTAGGTTGTCTAATTAACGTACTCAACAACTCGCTAACGTCAGCTTTGAACATAACACCGTTAACTTAGCTTTACACACATTAATAACTACTATTATTATATGTGTATGTTGTGGTTTTACAGGTTGATAAAAATGCAGAGTTGGCTGCCAAATGGAAATACTGTGCCTTGAGCCAGGAGAAACTCAGACGGCCCATTGTCGCTTGTGAAATGGGAAGGTGAGAATAGGCTTTTTCTGTTCAACGTCAATCAGGTAAAATGAGCTGCCAATTATAATATTTGCTTATCAGAGCACTGTATGTTCTCAAAGTCTGGTCCATGTTATGTTTCAGGCTCTTTAACAAAGATGCTGTCATCGAATACCTTCTGGATAAAACTGCTGAGAGACCCAATGTTGAGGCTGTAACTCACATCCGTGGGATCAAGGTGTGTTAAAGCTGAAGTTTTGGTCGTCTTAATGAAAACACATGGATTTTTCCCCAGCTGCATCATATTTCTTACATGTCTCTAAAGTCGAAGTCGACGCGTGTTTATCCATCTACTCCCTCTGCAGGATATAAAGGAACTGAACTTGACCGATAACCCTGCGTGGGAGGGAGAGAGAAGAAATTCTAAAGGAGACAGATATGAGGACATCCACTGCGGCATGTTCATTTGCCCTGTTGTTGGGTTGGAGATGAATGGCAAGCACAGGTAACAAACAACAAGTAAAAGGTCCACAATCAAAATATATCAAAGAGGCAGGTGCTTCACTTCGTCATGTAAAATGCACCAATTATATTTTTTTTAAATTTAAAGACTAACTTTATGCATCCACTTTACTGTAGTAAATTACTCATCTACCCGTTAGGTGAGGCTTTAGAAAATCAGGAGATTTTTGGCAAGTTCAGTGTTGATCACATTATGATTTTAAATTCAGTGTACTGTATGTGTATACAGAGCTCTGCTGTTCTCAGCACCGGTGCCGAATCTCATCCAAACATTAAGACCAAACAGAACACTTAGAAAAATGTGCCTCATATACGTTACAGTGACAGCTCACTTTGTGCAGGAAATTGCCCAAAAGTGAAAAAAAGGTGTATTATATATGTGTTATGTTTTCATTTTCAGGTTCTGTTACTTGCAGACCTGTGGCTGTGTCTTTTCTGACAGGGCCATGAAGGAGGTCAAGACAGAAATCTGCCACAAGGTGAGTTTCATATTTTGTTTCCTAGTTGCTCTATTCCAACTTTTGAAAATTCTGATTGGAGCAAGGTTTTGCTATCCTTTCTGTAAAGTGCTCTCCATTGCAGACTTCTCAGTGTTTGGCAGTGCTTGTTTGATTTACATACAAAGGTCTCTCACTGCTAATGCTTGGTAAATAAGCATCCTTGATATCAATGTAGATAACACACTAGCAGTCTGGCATTTGGTTCCAGATGCACAATTTGTTGCTTAGATGGATAACAATGTGTGTTAACAAACTAAAATGTTTAAATGCTCCCATGGGAGGTTCAAAAAAATCTCAAAACAATGAACCCTAGTTTAATAAATTGTGTTAGCTATCCAGAAATCTGTACAATTTGAATTTAAAACAAATTTACGCTGTTAAGGTATTTAAAAGACTAGAAACACTAATATTGAGAACAGTGTAAATCAGTAAACAAATATCAACTTGTTTCAATCAATTCTGGTCTACACATACCATAATCAAGTGCATTATGCAAATTGCAGAAGCTGCATTAATAATTGATAATGGAAAAAGGTTTGACAAAACTGCATCATAATGAAGTACTGTAGTTCTGAAGAGATTCCCTGGCTTACAAATCTTGTTCTTCAGATGTATGATTGTTTGGTACAGAACCAAAATAAATTCACATCATCATGATTTTAATAGTTTTTTCAGTGAAATATAAATTTATGATGCAAAAACAATGATTCCCACACTAATTGAAAATCAAATCACAATCGCAAACTCATAGGAATATTATGTTTTTACCATATCCTGCAGCTCTACTATTAATCCATTTGTAATTCAGTGAGAAGCATACAGCTTGCTCCAGTTCGACCCTATTCCAATGTGTGATTGTCTCACACTTTTGGAAATGTTTGTAAAATTGGTTATATATAAGATTTTCCATTGCCTCTTATTATTGTTCGGAGATATAGTTTGCCATTATTTCTATCGTCATTGTTCAAAGCGGAAACTGTGCTCACAGACAGATTTTTTACTGTTTTGTGTGTCTCTAGCCATCTTTTTTGACCCAAATTGAGCCACATGGGAATCTTGCAGAAGCAGGCCTTTGAACCATTGTGGGTCTTGACCTCTTAGTTTTAAGTAACTTTAAAGCGATAGCTGTAATTTCTCATGAATAGGCTATTCTAAGGATGCAGACAGATGATATCCAGTCACTGCTGTTGTTTCTGTTGAAGTGAAAGCATCTTGGCACAGGTCAGTTGTTTGACTTTTCCATAAATAGGGCCTAAAACCATTAAAAAAATTACAGTGTTTCTTGTGGGAAACTGTCTCTGTCTGCTGAGATTTTTTGCTTAGATAGGCTTATTAGGCAATACACAATGTCTTGAATTTATAGCCACTGGTATTGAGGCTGAATTTGCCTGCTTCTTGCTTAGTCTCACTTGGCTGCCATGGTGCAGACAGTTGTTGGCAAACTTGAAGAACATGTAAGAATATCGTTGTAGGATATTCCAAGAAAAAAAAAAAAAAAAAACTGTCGATGAACCATAAATCAACCATGTTCATGTTTTTAGACCAGTGCTGTAAAAAGTGATGTCTAAGTACTTCACAGTAACAGCCAAAATGAATTATTTTATTTATTTTTAGGCAGCCTGCGTAACTGCCTAAGTGCAGGGGTTTTGCTCAGAGCAAAGCCCCACAGAGCCACTATCATGACTATAGACTTGTAGTCTTGTTTTGAAAAAGGAAGAAGGGTAGGGAGTTTTTTTCATTGTCTTTAATTGTTTGTTTATGCCTGTTACTTTGTAATTCATTAAAAAAGAAGAAGAAAAAAAGACAGTAGTTTTTATCAACAATTCATTTTTCAACTGGACCACACACTGAACATTAAATTAAACAATAATAAATGCATATTCAGTAGTTTATTTAATACCTTGTGTAGTGTAGATTTCTCAAATAGGTTCTGTTATTTAGGTTTTTTTTATTGGATACACGCTGCATTGGTTTACTGTGAATATCTTTAGTCATCTGGCATATTATCTATATATATTATCATCTTCTGATTATCAAAAAAAAAACAGCCATCTTACAGTTTCATAAATAGACAAATACATTTGTGATCAGTAGCTTTGCTACAGAGTCTGGAAGTGCACAGTGCATCATCCTGCCGTTCTCAGTTCAGTTTCCCGCTCACATTTTTGACATTCACAGCAACCTAACAAGTGCAAATAATCCAAATTGCATTTAGCCCCACTTTTGTTGAGGATACCAGCAGTGATTTCAGGCTTCACCACTGCTGTTGAAGTAGCTTGAGTTGCTTTGTGTGGCCAGTAGCCATGATGGCTCTATGGGGACAGTTGCCTGGTTCAACACCTTGTTCCTGTGCCACTGCTCCAGACAGTCCAGTGCCTCTGGAAAGACATTACTTTCAAACTTATTGGCAAACATGCTGTTCCTGTTGATGATCCATGGCAGGTCTTCCATTCCATAGATACAGATGTCTCGAACGTAATGACCTGGAAAAAAACAACAACAATTTTGGTCTTGTATTTGTATATTAGATATTAGATGTGACTCTGTGAACTTCAGACCTTTTATGATGCTGTATGTGTTTGTTAGGAGGTTTGTGTGCTACTGCAGTGATTTTGGATGGTGACGTGTGCATTTATTGTTTACATAAAAAAAAATGTTAGCATTGACTTAACCTATTGGAGAGTATGTCATATCAGATTATTCAGATAAATAAGTCATATCATGAGTCCTTTTATCATCTTTTGTGTTCCCTTAGCCAGTAATTGGTCTTGTAATCCTGTCCGGAGCCAAACATAGGACAATGAGTAATAAGCAGACCATTTGTATCACATAGGACAGATATAGAATATGAGGTAGGCTAATGTTACAATATATGTTAGTACTTGTAGTGAGTTTGGCTACAAATATTTACTAGTTTGGTAAACTATAACATATTCTAAACGTTGCAATTACATTTCCATTTTATTTCTAATACACAGTTGAAAAAGACTAGTAGTGTACCAAATGCTGCTTCCCTCCCAGCAAATCATAGGATCAACATCAACAAAAAATAGCACAGGCTAAACTACTGTGAATCATGTGTCTGGATCATATACATTTGAAAATCATCGTGGTTTCGCAGACAAAGACAGAGGTTAGGGGTAGTGGGCTCCAATTAGAGGGCGTTCACTCTTTTTAAACTGCCTTTACAGCCCAATCAATAAAGTATTGCCCCATTATTGTATGTACTTCTCTACTGTACCTTTGCAGCCATTATGTGTCCGTCCCTCTTGATCTCTCCACTTGATTGCCCGGATGTTTCCTGCCCAACCTCCATCTATGTGGTTGCCTGGAGCTTCTTCAAACACATAACCGTAAAAAATGAATCATGATTATGCAACCTAAGTGAATTATAAAGACCCAGTTTGAGACTGTCACATCCACTACGTGGGAGAGTGTCCAGGATAATTCCCATTGAAAAGCTTAGGGAAAGCAGCTGCTCTTTATTGGATGTGAGGAAGTTAACCAGATGCTGCTTTGGCAAACCAGCCAGAAATTCCTCGTCCTTTAAACCTTTTCTCTTGTAAAACTGAAAACAGTAAAGCATAATGTCATCTTTGTGTGGCTTTTCAAAGTAAGTTTTAGAGTGTGCCGTCTTCTCCCATTCACATGTCTAGTTAACCTTCCCACCTCCAGTTAAGAGCAGTGCACAGCTACTTCCCTAAGCTTTCCTATGTAAAGCATAAAATGAGGGCTAGTATTTACTATTCAGGTATAATGTAATATAAAAATATAAATACAGCCCTATAAAGATCAAAACAGTTCCCTAAAGTATATTTATCTTTGCCTTATTTCACACTTAAATCCTAATTAATGGAGAAATGGCATTGACATAAGGATCAATATCTCTTGATATCAGTAAATTAGTTAGTGAGGGTTCAGTGCAAAAGTCATGAGGTGCACATTAAGAATAGGCCCTTTGTTGTTATTGATTTCCCCCTTAGGAGAAATAAGCCCGTTGCATTTCAACCATCCTCTTTAGGAGCACCTAGTGACTAATTTTTTCTTCTTAAGTCAGTTCCTTGGTCAAGACCAATGGCAGTATTTCCTAATAACTAACATGCTTGTCTTTTGGAGGAGCAATTTACCACAAATGACATCTTGACACTTGACTCAAGCATTACTCAGGCGTGAGAAAATACACTTTTACGCAACCAAGGGTGCAAATTAATATTAGGAATGAGCCGGGACCGCCTGATATAATATTGTTGATGATCAAACAATATAAATATTTTCACTTTAAACATATATCTGATCAATAAGTTCATACGCTGTAGTTGTCCTTTGTGCCATATATGTGGGATAAAAAAGGAAATCGTTTACTTCAAGCAAATAATAGTGCCATCTTTTAAATTAGTACTAATATTACATAAACATATAATTTTCATTTTACATTAGTTGCAAACAACATGTTTATTATTTTACAGCATCTTGACAAGTTTTTCCTAATATGCCAGATGGCTTCAGTCGTGCTGTGGCTCACTTGAAGGCCATTTGAACCAGGCAGTTTACCTTTGATGTGGTTGAGTGTCACCCAGTAGTGCTCATCTGGACTGAAGGTGTCTTTCGACCACTCCAACAGGTCACGGGCTACTGGGCTTTTCAGAACAAAGTCTACAAAAGCTCTTGTGAGAGCATAGTAGGCCGTTCCAAAAAAAATTTGCAGATTGTGTGGAGGAGGATCTTTCTTTAGTCCTAACCCTTTCAGAGCTACATGTGACCCCATAATCTCCCTGTGCTGGAGCTGTGTCCTGGTCCTCATAGACAGCGGTTGCTTGACCCCAGGCGTCATGTTTCTGTCCCTCCACTCTTTGCTTTGCATGTACCGCACCAGTTCCAGGTTGCTCTTGACAGGGAAATCCTGTCCACACAGATTCACTACCTTTCTCCAGCCTATCTTGGACTTTGCTAGATCCTTCATGCAGTTCATATCTGCTTGCAGGCGGGAAAACCCAGCGTAGGTCACTGTCTCGCTGCGGCTGGAGATGAAGGTATTTTTGAAGCAGCTGACTAGCTTCCATACAGCCGCCTGGTACTCCCATGGAGCCTTAGCATCCACGTGAATGCAGTAGACATTTTGTGGCATGTAAATGGCCCGCAGCAGCCGTACAAAAAGCTCCAGCTCTTTGTGAACGGTCACAATGAACGCTAAAGGGTAGTCCTCCTCCTCACGGCTCAGAGGTCTTGTGATGAAGTGAAGGTCTCTGGTCAAATCTGAACACTGCAGGCGACTATTTAGAATATAGCTTTCCACCTGTAGACAGAAGAAAATTATATATTAAGACTACACCTGTTATTAAATTATTTTTTCCATAATCTTTACTCACATTTATCAGTATAGTTCTTCAGGCTGGTCACAAACACAGTGTCGAATTGGATCTGGTAAATTACTTGTTTGACTCAATTAATTCTTGTAATTTCTTATTTTACACATTTGTTTTAGCATGTTGCTTTAGTCTTGTTTATGTGATTCCCGCTCTTTAAATTAAACTAAAACGTACCCTCCTCAGTGATGAGTCTTGCTCCACTGCACTGTTTATCTCAAATTTTTAAAAATGCATTAAGAGAATACATGTATGTAAAAGAAAAACAACATACCTGGCAGTCACGGCGGTACAACTCTACTCCTTCCATGCTGTTCAGAAAAGCTTTACATTCAGTGGAGAAGGGCCTGCAACTGGGAGGCTCTAGAGGCTTAAGCTCTGTTGGCATCCTGGCCCTCAAGTAAATGACTGAACAGACAATAATACTCATCCCCAGGCACAACAGGAAGCTGCATTTCGTTCCCTCAAGCTGGCGCATAATAGCCCTGCTTCACCGTATCCAGACAGCACCACCACAGATAAAACTCCTGCAATAAAGACATTCAGACTGGTTATTTGCAGTAGGGTCCAGGACCCCAGAGGGATATTAAATAGGGTTAAATATGTAGGTTAGCACTAATTGAAGCCAGTTTTTAGCTCAAGAAATGTCGTTTAGTGTACCGAATTTAGTCTCTTGATTTTCTGAGATGTGATGAATAACAACATTGTCTCTGGTTCATCTTTCTGGAACACAATATACAGGATTTTAACTTCATCTTCATTTAGTCAGATTTTCATAATCAAAGTCAAAGCATGTCATTACATGATAGTACATCAAATCATGTAGAATAATAAATTCTACCTCGAGGGAGATGTTTTTCCTCTACTTTGCGCCCCATCCAAAATACCAAACAAATCAAAACTGACGAAAAAGGAAACTGTTCAGCAACATTTGGCAAATTATAGAGAGAGTTGGCAAAGTACAGCATACTTAAAAGTCCAACATTTAGGAGAATCTACTGTGTGGAGGCCACCATGTTGGGCCACCATGTTTCTACAGTAGCACTGGATTTTTGTGGCCATCATACTTTCTCCCTTGTGCTTGTAAAGGGAGCGTGAGGCAGGTGACTTGCAGTCTGCAACTTAACCGCTAGATGCCACTAAATCCTGCACTCCTTTAAATAAACTGTTAAAATGGAGTCATGAAAGTTTTTGTCATAAATACTTTCTTTTCTGCAAGGAACATAAATTGGAACTAGTGCAGAAATGATGAGCTAGTTGATTATCCAACAAAAGAAAATGTATTACTTATGATTTTGATCTTTTGATCATCTTGCTTTCTCTTGCTTTAAATTATTAGTGAATTAACCAATACATTTTCATAAAACAAGTCATTTACGTGAATGTGCATTAACTGGACAACAATTTTCAAATAATTGTTAACAAAATTGAAAGCAAATGCAGCTTTAGTTGAAACATGCTATAGTGACTCACTGAACAAGTCTTGGCAGATCATCTGAAAACTCAGGAATTCTTCATGATCTAAATGTACAAGGTACAACAGATAGCATTAAGTAAACATGTGAGATATGAAGATACCAAAAGGATTCAGACTGACTGGAGGATAGTTGAGAGAGGGACAGTACTCTGGTGGGCTACCCTGCCATGTATCTGCCCTTTGAACATCTCAAGCTGCTTAGGGGTATAACTATTTAAATATTTTTGACCTTTTTCTTAATGTAAGACATTATATGGGCATCTCAACAAATTCATCTGACAATTTCCACCCATGAAGCCAGAACAGACAACTTAATAAAACTAAGTAGTGTGGGTATTGGCAGTTTTACTGGATGCATTGCTCATGTTTTTGCATTATATAAGTAACTGTTTTATTTGTAGTAAGAGTAGCATTTGATCTGTTCTGTACACATCTATTACATGTCTCTCTGTCCTGGAAGGGGGATTCCCCCTCTGTTGCTTTTCCTGAAGTTTGTTTAATTTTTTGTTCTCCATTAGAGTTTTTCCTTATCCAAATTGAGGGTCTAACAATTGAGCAAGTCCTATGCTGTACAGATTATAAAGCCACCGAGGCAAATTTATGAAAAACCTTCTTAATACTTGACATCAAGCTTGCTTTCTTTAGAAAACGTAGCCACAAGTTACTCTGTTGTTATGATAAAGTCCTATTTTTGATATTACACAGTTTGAAATAGTTAAATAAAACAGGATGCTACAACTCAGAAGTTGCTTTCAGTTGAACCAGTGAGCTGCTGGGCTCATATCAATGCAGAATGTTCTTTATTAAGCAGACCAGAGAGTATTTGAGAAAAAGTGGATCTTATACCCCAGTTCCTTCTTTAGAGCAAAGAATAACATCTCTGAGGACTATTCTTAATCTCAGTCAGTGAAGCCTCCTCACTTCTTTTCCCTGGCTGTTAAAGCCATGTTGTTCCTGAGAACAGCACCAAAGTACAGATTTCCAAAGGCTTCCATGGAACTGTTTTTACTATTTTGATCTTTTGTCGAGATAGGTAAAATATTCCTGAGAGAAAAAAAAACAACTACAGCCCGGCATCTACGGATTAGCTTCCTGCTTGATTCCTTTAGTGTTTTTACTTTACTATGTTTTGCTCAGTCAAAAACTTTATCATTCCGTATTTCAAACATTCATTTTTGGATTATATCTATTTAATATGTTTATGTTTGCCGTCTCGATCAAACATCCAAAGCTTATATCAGTGGAATACCTATAAACACACACACAGACAGTATGTAAAAACTCACGCCAAAGACAGGGAAAGGTGAGCCAGTTACCTTTGAGGCAGTTCAGTCTGTAGTCCTTATGGTGAAGAAGGAAAACATTTGACATCAGCGCCTGTTCTGATCATTGTTACCTAAACGGCTACTCTGAGCTTGTTACTGCAATCCATCCAGAGTCCGTCGGAGAGCACAAGTCAATTCCATTGGCATCATCATCATCATCATCAGCAACAACAGGAGCAACAACAGCGGGGAGCAGTTTCTGTTGTATTGTTGAACTAAATTTGGTGGTCAGGATTATTTCGCTGTTGTTTCTGGCAGCGAGTGACCTCGGAGGCTGTGCTCTCTGAGCTTGAGACCCTGTCAGAGTGAGACACAGAGTGCTTTGCATATGTGTTTTCTCTCTCTAGTTGTATTCATTGCTGATGAAGTCGCCCCCCCACATCCCCACGAGACGAAGTCCGTCCCTGCCTGGTTACCAGCAGTAACACCCACGCACACACCTGACACACAGGAACACACTCCCATCTCACACACACACACACCTCTCTCTCTCCCTAAGGTTTTTTCCACTCTCCTCCCTCCCACAGTTTCCTACTCACTGGTGCATTGCATCTTTCTTTTTTTGTCCTCTTGCTATGCATTATTTTTCCTCAAAACCCCTTTACCTCAGGTTCCATTCTTCTTTTTTCTCGCAAATTGGTTTTAATTCCAGTTCATTTGCCCAGTTAGAGTTCGGCATGTTGAATTATTGACATTGTCTCTCCGTTGAGGGCTGCCTCTCTGTCTCGTTCACCTTCTGGTTTCCTTGTCAAGTAGCTGGTTTAGTGATTTAGGAAGATTCTGGTTGACTTGATGATAAGGTGCTCAGCTCACCGATGGCCTGTGTCATTTGTGGTAATAGCAACAGCAGAGTGACTGACTTCAGAGCAGCAGCCACAGAGTTTGTTTGCTGCTTGGTCAGCTCCTGAGATTATCCCTCTTGTGTTGAACAGAGCACATGGCCGGAGTTCACACCCACTGAGCCTGCATTACGCCAACACAATAGATCCCCTGCTGGTTACTCAGGGGTTTAATATTTGTGTTTGTATATGGGTGTGTTTTCCCTTTTTTTTTTTTAAAGCAGGCATGCTTCTTATGTAAGTATAATTTCTGAGTAATACACAAAATTATTATTTAGAGATTTTTGACCATCCGTTGTAGGGTTAGCCTGTCCAGGACAAATGCCACAATGTATAGTGATTGGTTTTTCAGAGACTGTGCTTCCCAGTGGTTTTAATACAAAGGTGCCTTGACCCATTGCTATTTTCCATTTTTGTAAACAACTTATAAACTGTTTTAGATAAACTAAATATGGTAGCCACCATTTCAGGGCTGAGTTAACATGCATAAGGGAAACTCCATGTTACCCACATAATTACTTAGGTCTGCAACAAACTTTTTATTTAGTGGAACAAAGTATCGTATAGTTGCTGAGATTTGTTTACCAAACATTATCGGCTTTCGCGTATAAGGTTTATGTATGTCTTGTCTGTTTGTCTGAACGACTGACTGACTAAATGTGACTGTTTCCATCTGATTCAGTGTGTGTTGAGTTTGGTTTTCCTCTCAGAGTAAATCCAATGCAGCATGCATGCAAATAAGCCAAAAAGGAAAGTGATGTGGCAAGGATGTTATTTGGTTGTTGTGTTCATTATATGTTCAGCACAGTCTATATATTTATTTTTCACAACTGGGTTTTTGGACATCATTTATGTTTTTAAAGAGACTTCTGAATGTCACGTAGAAGATGTGTCCGGATGATGCTCTTTAGGAATTGTGTTAACCTTTTCAGAGAAATACAAACAACATAGAGTTGTGAATACTGATGTTCTGTTTCTATTTTCTATTGTAGCGTAAATAAATAAATAATTATATATGTGTGTATGTATTTGTACATTACACACACATAACATTCACATTCACATGCACATTGACATGCAGCCTTAAATTGATATTCCACTGTTGTGCATTACTTCTGACAAAACATGTAACTGAACACAAAACCTCCATATTAAACCCATCAGGTTGTAAAGATATGTGATCTATATGAACTGACTTTCCATTTGTTGGAAAGGTTTTTCTGCTGTCTAAGTGAGTATCTCTTACCTATGCTTTAGTGTGGAGACCCGTTTAAAGAGGAGGATGTTATTGTGCTCAATGGCACCAAGGAGGAGGTGGAGAAGCTGAGGGAGAAGATGGAAGAGAGGCGGACCAAAGCCAAAACTAAGGTGGGTTTTTAATTAAACAGAATACAGTTGGTGGTCGGGATTGAGTAAAGTATGCAATATTTTCCTCAGTGATTCTTTTTATTTTTAGCTTTTGAACAGTATTTGTCTTCACTGGAAACAAATCAGTTTCTTTTTTTGTAAACTAATAAATCCACTCAAATATTTCTATTTGATTAATTATAATTTTATTTTCTGTTTCAGAAATCAAAGAAGAGCAAAACAGCTGCAATTGTGTCCACGCCATCAGAATCAAAAGGTTTGGGTAAAGCCTGGTTCAGCCATCATACATCTTGTTAACACGTATCAGTATTTACATAAACAAAACCAAGCAACAAACAACTTCTCTTCATTTGGATAATATTTGAATGTCCTATAATAGCAGCTAGGTTTTTCAAACACCTAACACATGACTTCTAAAATACTGTATTAAATCGTAAGACAGAAAATGCAATCATGTATTAAAAAAAAAAAGTGACACAACCATCTGCTATAAAAAAGACCTTTACTGAATTATTTGAATATGTTTGTAGCTATGTTTGGACTTTTCTGTGAGACGTTGATGATGTAGATCACTTGTAGTAAGCCACTTGGATCTTGACACATCTCATCTCATGATCATTAGATTTGATAAATGTCTCTATTATATCATTTCTGTGTTTTTCAGTGTCAGCAATGGTTTCCTAAAGTCTTTCGGTTATGTTTCATAGGCTTGACATAACTTTTCAGGCTAATTAGTCATAATTTCTCCTTTTAAGAAAACATCTATCATGTAGTGCTGGAAGATTTTAGGGAAATTGATATTGAGGGGGAAAAAAACTAATTTGTACTCTCCATTTAATAATTTGTTGATTAATGCTTTCAGTGTAATATTGTTTTTGGTGTGAGATGGCTTTCAAGCTCTATCTCTCACTCTCTCGCTGCCCAAACAAAGCAACAAAGCCATTCCTTAATCCATGTTGTTGGCAACATGTGATGTGCAGAGTCCAGACTTTTGCCAACAGGGACAGCTGCTTTATTCCAAAAGATGTGACAGGATAAACTTGGAATTTCTGTGTTACAGCTTATCTGTTGGGTGTGTAGAAAAATACAGGATGTCTTTTTTGGGGTTTTTTTACCATTAGATCCTACAAGTATGTAATAGTAAATATAAATAAACAGATTATTCAGTGACATGTGAACACAATCTGTAAAATGTATGAATCTAACACAGGGAGCAAAATGAAAGAGGCACATGAAAGGCACAGTGACTTCTGGCGAGTTCTTTGTGTCTGTGTGTGTGCGTGTGTGTGCGTGTGTGTGCGTGCGTGTGTGTGCGTGCGTGCGTGCGTGCGTGCGTGTGTGTGTGTCTCTGCCAACACAAATAAGCGAGGAAATGCAGATCCTTTAGACGGTGTCATTGGATCAGGTGTGTGTTTGCAATGTTTTTACAGTGTGGCCCTGTGTTTATTCATCTTAGATCAGAGACCCTTCAGTGTTGTTTGTCTTCAGAGAACATTGGTGTGGTTTCCTGTTCAGTGCTCCAGGACAGCACAGGCCTCTCACCTCAAAAGTGAACAGGGTGTTGGCAGGGAACCACTTGACATTTATTTGTGTTACCCAAATCAAAACTTTAATATTAATAAAAGAATAAAAAAGCCTATAAGTACAGCAATATACAAAGGTCATAATGACTTAAACCTGAATGAGAAACCTTTTCAGCACCCTTTTGTATTATATTGTATTATGAAATCAGTTGGTGTTTTAATTTATATAGTAGTGCATACATCCTTTGTCTTAATCAAACTGTCTGACTCTTGTTTCTTCCCGTAGATGACACACAGTCGCCAGAAGTAGAAGTAGCAGAGAAGACCTCTCTACAAAATGGTGGTGAAAGCAGCCATGCAGGTAGCTAACCCAACATTTAAAAAATGGTATTAGTGCTGAACATAGTATATCTGCCAGAATCACGGCAAGGAATCCTCCCCACTTTCAAACAGCAAGGCAGTCATTCTAAAGTTTAAAATGCATACATTTTCTATCTGAAATTTTGCCAGGTAATGAAAAAAGCAGAAGCTAGTAGTTCATATAATCAGCTGGGCATCAATGTATGTCTTCATAAAGACCTTATACACCAAGAAGCCTTTCAAAAGTCTTTGCTGGATGTCAGAGTGTCAGATCAAATGTAAAATCTAGGCAAACTATGACCTCTCTTTAAACGTAGATAGAAACCTTTATTTAATCAAGGGAAAACCAACTGAGAGCAAAGGTCTCATTAACAATGGTTCCCTGCAAATACATAATCAAGATCAGTTTTACAATAAAAAGTCCCAAAAAACGTAAAAGCAACGTTCTTGTACAAAACATAAATACAGCACGAACACGAGCAATAAAGATATAAAGACAGTAAAAAAATACATTACAGGGACAAAGCAGACACATTAAGAAAAACAGGAGCATTCTTCATAATAAATAACATTTAGAAGATACTGAAATCGTTCTATGAATAAAAAATAGTCTAACTTAAGGGAGTCCTGAAGCTTATTCTGCCCATGGGGAGCATAAAGGGTGAAAGCAGTTATGGCTACGTCTTAAAAGTGATGGTAAATGGTGGTTTATTAAGTATAGTATCACTTATCACTCCTTTCAAGTATTAAGTGATGGCCATCCTACCTTCTCGTAGAGGATACAATGAGTCCAACGCTGTCATCTGTAATAAATCTAAGAGAACTGTGATACACAGCATCAAGGGGCTTGAGGATATGAGCGGCAACATGCTTGTAATGTGCATAGCCCAGCACTGATAAAAATATATGCCTGTACAATCTGCAACCTACTTCTTAAACTGAGACATTTAGTTTGAATACAGAACAGCTCAGGTACCCAGTTTGCCTCTTTTTCTTAACACGATTGTCTAATCATATGTTCAGTTCTCCAGAAGTGAAAAAAAAAACTGAAACATTAATAAATAAAATGCTGGTTTAGATATTAGTAACTGCTTTTTAAATTGTTGTAATTATTTGCATTGTCTTATTTTGTCCTTGCTTTTTTACCACCTAGCTGTGGCTGGTCCCTCCGGATCCTCCGGCTCCTCAAAAGGCACCAACTCTTCAACAACCTCCGCCACCAAGAGGTCCATCCAGAGCATGGAGGAGAAGTCGGAGGTCTTCAAATCCCTGTTCACCAGCCACAGCTCTGCCAAGCGCACTAAAGACCAGACATCCAACTGGGTCACCCACACCCCGTATCACTTCTAACTATCATTCAGAGCAAAGATCGCCATTTTTAGATTGCTCCAGAAATTGTGACCCATTAAAGACCCGTTAATGATAAATGTAGTTCTACATACCCAGCTCCAGCACACATAAAGAACCCCCCCCATACACACACACACACACACACACACACACACACACACACACACCTATTACCCACTTGACCTCTTATAATGTCATCCTGTGGATTCCCAACTTGTCTCTTCAGTCCCCAGTAGCCTGGTGTTTACATGTTGTCAACATTTTGTTAATCGCTCCCCAAGCTGTTCAGACTCTTTGTTTTGTAACCTAATTCCTCCCTCATGTATTCCCCGGCATCTCCATGTTCTAAGTCACAGGTGCTTTGAGAATTGATGCTAGGGCGACTCTATTATCTCCGTCACTCTGCTGTCTCCTAGTGGACAGAGTGCAGCTTTTTAAAGTGACCTCTACATGGTTGAAACGACCATTTTTCAGTTAAGGTGAAAACTGCAAAAGTGCAAAAGCTTTACATCTCTAAAGCAGGTCCTTCTGTCTTATTCCGATCTTCAGTAAATATCTACATTTGAACACATTTTGAACTCAAAAACATTTTTTTTTTCAGGTTATTATCAGGATAAGCTTGGCCCACATTTAACCTTTATAGGATATATTTGACATGTTTAGCAGAGGACTTTCAAGTAATTTGTGTTCATTATATTGGTTATTTGTTTTCTTGAAAAGTGGGGTAAAAAAAATAGGTTAACAACATGAAGACAGTTTAAAGCATTTTGCTTATGTATTGAAGCTTATGATGCTCATAAATTGATAAAAGTGCACACAAAGCAAAAGAACAAACATAAGTAGCTGTAATGTAAGAGGACAGGATAGCTCAGTGCTCTTCTTTTGGTTTTTGAGAATTACAAGCTTCAGTATTTAAATTTTTTTTTCCAAACAAGGTGCTTCCAACTGTCTTTTTTCTCAATTTTTTGAAGATCTTTGACATGAAAAATAACCAAATATTGCTACGTTGGCTTCCGGTTTAATAACAAGTTAGTGAAATTGAATTATAATATTTTCGACTCCTCTTCAGATAGTTGGGGATTTTTAAAGGAGATTAAAAATGTGTTCTTCGGTCATTTGTTTCCCTTTCTTTTCTGCATATCAAAAAATAAATTTATATTCAACCTATGAAGCTGAATTTCTTCCTTATTTGTGTATTGTTCATCTCATATTACAAGTAAAATGTGTATTATTGTGTGTTTAGCCTGTAATATAATACTCAGTGACACTATGCTTTATGTGCAAGGTGATGAAAGCAGCAACAACAACTCCCTGTTGTAGCCTTCAAGGGAAAATTCACACCAAAAACAAACTATAAAAAGCTCTTCTTACATACAGCAATTTACACGTACATGTGAGGTGTGAAAATTACATCTGTTATGAGGTTTAAGTGTTGATGGAGATGCCTAGCTGGCAAGGTCTAACTCTATAAATATTCCCATAACAGATATTGTCCCGTTGCTTGGTTGCTGCCACACATATGTTCTTACTCAGATGTCCTGATACAGGAGAACAAAAACAGCAGCTTCCAATCAGATAGCCAGACTACAGCCACACTAAAAATACTCTATACACTACAGTTTACTCCATTAAAAGTGTTACTTAAGGTATCCCTCCAGTCAAAAGGATGGTGTATTTGCAGAGTTTGACACTGACATTATTCTGTACTCACATTAAATCTCAGTTTAACACATTTTGTGACTTCAGAACTAGTTTAGGTCCAATATATAACTTGAAACCAAACAATGATAATGGACTTTTCAGTGAAGTAGGAGATGATTGTTTTCAGTTATAACGCGATGCATTAAGGTGTAAATAACATTTCACACTCTGAACTCAAGCTAATTTTAACTATTATTAGACTATTATTTAACTACTATTATTTAATAAATAAATGTAATGATGTATACATAGAACATTATTTTCCTCGAGACAGGAGAATACAGTCGCATGAAATTGAAATAAATGATTAAGAAATTAAACGCAAAGTGTAGATGTACACTAAAGTACAGTAGCACAGTAGCTACTTGAGTAAATGCAGTTAATTCCACCACTTGATATGTCTATAAATATTTTTTAAAGTCTTTGCTGGATGTCAGACTTTCAGATCAAATGTAAAATCTAGGAAAACTATGACCTCTCTTTAAATGTAGATAGAAACCTTTATTTAATCAAGGGGAAACCAACTGAGAGCAAAAGTCTCATTAACAATGGTTCCCTGCAAATACATAATCTAGATCAGTTTTACAATAAAAAATATCAAAAATAAATTAAAAGCAACGTTCTTGTACAAAACGAGACAACACGAACGCAGGACAAATAGAAATAAAAAGACAGTAAAACAAATACATTACAGGGACAAAGCAGACACATTAAGTATATATGAGTATTCTTCATAGAAAATAACATTTAGAAGAAACTTAAACCATTCTATGGATAAAAAAAAGTCCAACTTAAGGGAGTCCTAAAGTAATACTGATCCTTTTCCAATAAGGAGGATTGACTGATGTTGCCCTGGTGTGATATGAGGATACAGCCACTAGGTGGCAGCAGAAGCGTCCTTATCACCCTCTGATTTTATAGGCTCCAACTGTGGCAAAAGGGTAAAAGAAAATAAATTCCTACAAAGTGGAGTCTGCCTGCTTCTCATTAAACGTAAGTTACACCATAAATAATCCAATCATTGTGGCTAAAAATTTAAATAAACACTGAGTCCTCTTGTCTTCATCCAGCTGCAGTCTATGACATGTTTTTTGTTGATTTATATCTTTCTACGCACATTAGATCAATGGATAGGTGGTTTAGAAAGAAATAATACATCAATAATAAGAACCACAGAAGCTCATGTGAGTATTATTTTTTTTATTGACCTCTTTTTAAAAACTCTTTGGTGCATTTTCTAACAACCATTTGGTTTGGTCATTTTGGGAGCATAATGGGATAAATGTACCATACCCTGCAGGAGCTGTGGGATTTGTTGAGAGAATATGAAAATAGATTTAGGCTATATGAACGACTGCACTCACAATAATATTAATACAATTTATATCACATTCGTGTTAAACTTCCGTTCATTAAGACCCTACAGCAGAATTTTATTTTCTTAAGGAACACAAAATAGTTCACAAAGCTGGTCTTAATGCATAATAGAGTCAAAAGACATTAGTAAATGGAATTAAATTAATCTTTTTGGAAATCTGAAGATTTTAACGCACAGTTGTTTTTATTATTTATTTTTAATTCTTTTAAATTATATTGTTTGATGCGACTGTATTTTATGGCAGGTGTTGCGGCTGCAGGTCAGAAAGGTGAGGTTATTTTTCTCAGAACAAGATATGTAAGCTACATTCTCAACCACATCGTGAAGACACTTTGATCTGTTCATTAGTTTAAGCTAAAGTATTTGGGAGATCAGATAACAAGAGCCATTTTAGGCCTTAAAAAGCTTCAGTGGCTTTTGAAAGCAGATTCTTTTGGTCAGCCTGGGGCGATGTGGCTTTGGGAGTGGAATTACCTCATCTTGAAATTTCCTCACGTCTTTTTTTTTTTTTCTTCACCTTTTCTTAAACTTGAATCTCTGTGGCATTGCTTCATTTTTTGTTACTCAACACTCGCAGATTATTATGAGATTAATTCGATCTCGGTTATGGGTTCAATAATGCGGGTCCTATATTAATCTTTCATTGTTTAAATATATAGACCTATGTGATGATTTAATTAGGATTTAATAGGCTGCATTTGCGCTCATTTTCTCACCTTGATCCATTTGAGCATGCTGCTTTATAGAAAACATAATACATTCAGGTTTTCACCGGGGAACTAGGCCTATAGATGGATTGTTTTGATTTATCCCACTCAGGTGTATTACACTGCATGGCGCATGCGCAGTACACGGCCGTCAGGTGAGTCGGCAATGTAAAACCTCTCGTGGTTTCACTCTTTCGCTGCGTCTCAGTTGGATTGCTGTGACTAGAGCTTTGCAGATGTCTGTACTGGAGAGGATAGACTGGAGGGTGAGTTCACTGTTTTCCTCTTACAGCTGACTTAGTTTAACCCAACCTGCGTCATGTTTATCGCTTTCTGCTGCTGAGTCTATATTCGTTTTATTACTTTCCACATTAATCACCTGTTGTCGTAATCGCGCATAACCCGTGATTAATGCCAATAAGGCCAAGGCTTTATTCACTCAGTAATTAGGTTTTAGGCTACTGGATTACAAACCAATTGTTTATGGTCGAAACTGAAATTAACTTTCAATAAAATTACAGTTATAGTCATAAACTATACTTGTTTTTTTCCTCTTTCGTGGTTTCTATTAAATACCCACAGACGAATTAATTCCCCCTTATTAGGAGTGACAGGTATGATAAAATATATAAGAGAAAAGAGACCTAAAGGAACAGACGGATAGTCGCTAACCTCACCACTGAGTGACCTAATGCATTACAGGCTACATGGAGGCCTGTATAGGTTACATAATATAGACTGTTTAAAGTAGGCCTTCATTAATATAACCTGAATATCATAGTGGCCTTTATTGAGAGCTATATGTGGTACTTGTTAGTATTATATGTTAGTATAAATAAGAGACGAATTTGGGATTTCAATGGGATTTATTGTGAAAAGCCTTAAATATAATTTCTTATAGTGGGCTACTGACGCCATATCTCTGACAAACCAAACCAAACTAAAAGAAAAATCACTGAACTGAACTCGTCATTGATTTATTTGCCCTTTGTTAATTTTATTTGTCCGGGCATGGATCCATTTTAATATTTACACCTGACATCAGCTGAGCCGGTTTGTCCCTGCAGTGTCATTACAATGACAGGCTGAGCATCAGGATTGTCCAAAACATCACCGACAGGCCAAGCGTGACTAACTTCCTTTAGGTCTGCTCAGTGTCTCTTCCAACGTAAAATAACATTTAATCAGCGCGCATTTCACTTCGCATCACAACAAGCCAAGGACCGACACGCAAAAAAAGATAATCCTCAGTCAGCCCACGTCCTGTTGTTCCCATGGACAGCCGATGCGCACAGCGTGGGTGGACGGACGCCACATGCTGTTCTCCTAAAAGACAAAGGTCTGTCCAATAATCTCAGAAATTATAATCTGACATTTGGTAGGTACTTTTCAAATGATACAAAACCAGTTAATGAAATGACACCAAATGGTGGACACACAGCAGGCCCACGTTCTGCTAAAGAAGGAGATAGCCTACTTTATCAGGCTGAATGGATTTTGTTAAGTTTTAGTCCAATTTATTGCAGCATTTTTGCTCAAATACAGTGGACTATAACTTAAAATAATGAATAGTTAGGATACAAGGATAGGAGGTTATTTAATTGTAATTTTACTACGCAGGGTCGTTAGGTCGTTATAATTAAATAAATACAAACCAAAAAAAAAAGATCTTTTGTCCTCACTTTGGGATTTTATGCATATCAAAGCTTCAAAGCAGCCTTGTTTTGGACATTGCAAAGCTCCACCAAAAATGTAAATGATGTTAAGAAAGACTTGTTTGTTGAGATCCTTTGAGCTTTAGAGGTTTTTGCTAAACCCTCGGGCTTATTGCGGTTTTAAACAAGCACTTAACCACCACTGTGAAACACCGACATTAAAATGTCATGGGTTCATTTGAATGCCTATTATTCTATTTAGGCATTCAAATCGGAGAGATGCAATATCTATTTTCAGCTCAAAAATTAAACAAAGTCAGTTTGAGTCGGTAAAAGGGAAGAGCAAGTCCAGCTGCAAGGTGGCATGCGTGAAGAGCATACACTATTAGCCATTGTCCTACTTCTTATAACAATAAATGCAGACTACGAATAATAATAATAATAATAATAATAATAATAATAATAATAATAATAATAATAATTGTACAACCCTTAAAAATGTAAATCATTATGTATATTGTTGTATCCTGACTTTAACATCAGCAATAGAATGAATAGGTTTTATAGCCTAACTAAAATGCCCATCGCCAGTGTTCTGTAAAAAAAATAGCTGTATTTTTCTGTCATATAAAAAACAAAATTCTAGAATATCTCGAACCGAGCAATGTGATTGGCCGATAGGCATTCCACCGGGCGTCATAACTTCACCATGAGGCACTCGGTAAC